GTACGCCATTTCCGCCTTTTGGCCGTACGTTCACTTTTAGTATGGTTTCCACGCAATCCTTTATGAATGAGACCCGTGGAGAGACTAAATTCAACTTTTCTGCGCTCATACAGCCTCCAAGTCCACAACAAAATGTATTGAACAGCTAAAAGTGGATTTTTCATGATATTCCCCAACTCTCTGAAAATAAATACTAGAATTACAACCACTTTCAAGATGGCCACCACAGCCAAGTCACATTCCTACAAGAAACACAAAAAAAAAATGGCTACAAATGGTGTGGTAGTAACTGAAAGTAAATCCCAACACGTTTTTTGAGCTCTACATGTTGCCCAACATARTTGCTTAAAACTTTGGCCCTARCTTCTGRCAAAATATCCACTGGATGGATKTTATTGAAATCTTACAAAATAAAATGACTGGGTGTACATTTACAACTCAATAATAGACTTGAAACCGCTGCCATGGCTGCTTGACTGCTAACACAAAAGTGACTATATTTAGTCATATATTGAGTTAAATTATGTGTTACAATAGCAGATCATCAACATTCTCTCTAACACATCTAATTAATTTCACAATGCAACACGACTGAGGCTCATCGGTTGTAATATCATAGACAACATTTTACAAGAACAGCTTTAACAGTCCTTATAATAAATGACTTGTTGAGAACTCGATATGTGCATTCCTTCAAATAATGCCAGTTATTTAATTACACTCAGGTTTAAATTCATATTTCACTGAACAGGAAGCAGATGCTTTGGATGTTAAAGATGCATTTTATACATCACACAGGGGGAATTACACAGACATGAGCAAAAAAGAAAAGAAAAACTCAGACTGTTGTTTGTTTTGTCTGTCTGGCAGATTGTTTAACCATTGCTTAGGTGGWAAAAAGAATAACTTCCATTCCTGGTTTTCAGCAGCTGAAGCTGAGGCTGTTGTTGAAGTGTGCTGAGTGGATTCATCCCCTCTCTGACTCTCTGTCTGTAAAGAATCCAGCAGCCAAAAATCTGCTCCTGATTTCAGTGTGAGCTGAAAGCTCCCTGCCCCTTACATCCATGACATAATCTCAACTCTAAAGCTGTGCCTTATCCATTGCTTTAGTAATGGCCAAAACATTTTTTTGAATATTAATCAATTTATATTCTTATTATTTTTTTGAATGCGAGAACCAAATTATTTTTATGCCATTGCCACATTCTGTGATGATGGAGCATCCAATAAACACCTCAAAGGGAAATAATTTATTCAAAGCAGCTTGAMGAGTCTTCATTCATAAATAAAACTTATTAGTTTATGCAAAACGGTGAAGCAAGGGGAGATATCGGCTTAAACGTTTGCTGCAACTGTGTCACAAAAGGACATGAAGCTAATGCATTCTGTTTTTTATTTTTTTAATTTTTCAATGTTTAGTCAATCTAAATAGGAAGTACAGAGCATGTTTCTGTTTACTGGTAAAGCAGTGAGTCAGACGCAGTTCAAAGCAGCTATGAAACCCGGTGACACTAAAACCTCTTCCCTCTTATCTGAATCCAGGGATTCCTGTGGAAGACAGAGTGAACATTTTCATCAACAGCTTTGGCTCCATTCAAGAAACAACCATGGTGAGAACTCACTTCATTTCTTGCCGTAGCTCGACTCCATTGATAATCAACGCATCTGCCAATCAGAACGAAGACGGAAACTGCTGTGACTTTCAGCTTTTTAGCTGCAGAACATTGAGAAATGACTCATCGCGAGGACTGCAGGTTTCACGCCTCATTATTCTGATGGCTTAATTGCAGAGAAACGCAGGTTGAATCATAATAACCAGAACAAAATCAAAGACGTCGCAGGGCTAACCTTTGGTTTCTCAGAAAATAATAAAGAAGGGTTTTCTCTTTGTAAAAATGTTTGATTATTTGGCATTTATTTATTGTTCTTGCTCTATAAAGGTGTGGAAATTAAGCCAATAAACATAAAATCATGCATTTTAAGTAACAGTCATTAGAGAAGCTAAAAAAAGGGTGGTAGAAAAAACATGGATAAGTACAACAGAGTATTAGGGCCACACTACGAGATTAATTTATTTATTATGATATTAAAGAGTACCCCAAAGTTAACTTTTTTTGGCTGATAAACTGTCTAGAATGTGTCTAAAATGTTATATGGTACTATTGCTGTGCTAATTTAGATGTTTTTGTGYGTATTTGTTCAAATCTGTAATATTTGGTCTAAAAATGTCTTCTTGCTGCTCATATGGGTAGAGCRGTGGTACTGCAGGCTAATTTGCATATTGGTTAACGGCTCTCCACGGTGACGTGTCTTCTCCACGGTTTCGTCACAGCGGCTGTGTTCTGGTATAAAAGCCTCTCTCTAAGACACGCCCCTGCAGCAGTCAGAGGGTGGAACAGTTAGCAAGCTTAGCATGATCGTCTGTTGACCTTCAGCCACACACACACACACACACACACACACACACACACACACACA